AAAGTATCGTACATAAACAAATATCCATTGTCAAAAACACCGTACATTAAGATTATAATCTAGAATAATATCTAGAAGAATATCTGCAAGAAAAGTTCGAAATAAATTCTCAACTACTTATTTTAATTACTATATTAAACTTTATCACGAAGTTGCGTTAATTGGATCTTTATCATCTATCGATTATCTATGATCTATGAGCTAACGTTAGTCTAAAAAAAAATGGTAAGATCTGAAATAGTGATTTAAATTAATCTGAGTTTATCATATCACTAGTAATCTTTGCGCAAGTGAAATAGTATGTATCTGAATTAAAAATCGTTATTACAAAGTTTCTTCAAATAATTCAAGATTTATTATATTTTTGTACTGCTGGAATATTTTTGAAGATAATGTGTTTTAATTTATTTTGTGTTGTTTAAAAAATCTACCAAATATTTAATATTATTTAAGTTTTGCTGATTATTGCAATATCATTGATTATTATTAATAATGTAACTATTATTATAATTTATATTGAAAGAATGTCTTTTGTTCAGATACTGAAACTTACAACTTGTTAGGTTAACTTCATATGCAATGACAAGTATTATATTAATATATCATGTTTTCTTTTTAAATTCTTACTCAAGTTTGTATATAAATTCCTATCTTCATATTTTACATTAAAATAGAATCAGTGACCTCAAACTCTCTCATCAAGAGATTCATAAAATTTAATTAGAATCGTTCTTTTTCGACCATAACCTCTATTCTTTCACCCTGTTCAAAAATCTCATTCAGATTTGATTTTGATGTTCACACTCATTTTAATTTTCATACAAATTCCATATGAAAACATATGTGACATATTCTAACAAACCAAATTTGCAAAACATAGTACAACTATAAAATTACAAAACTGCATCTAAAAATTGCACTAGTGTTCTCTTCTCTTATACCGCCATTTTAACGTACCTCCCTCATTTCGTATATTAAACCAATGTTACATGTTACATATTCTTCACACATATACCTCGCCATACCTCGACACACACAGTCCAAAACTGAACTTCGTATCAATTGAAAAAATAAAAACTGCTGCACATTCCTGAAGGTGCATTTCTGAACCTTGCGACACCTCGACAAATTGTATCGATTTACTCGTCATCGGATCGTCCAATTTATCTGGAATGTAGGCCGAGTACATGCGACCCTCGAGAGCCACAGTATCACTATTTACACGTGCTCGACAGTAATCGTTATCGTGTAAACCTCCTTATCTATCTATGTTCCATTATTTGTATACAGGCACGTGTGCATGCGCTACATTCCATTGTACGTTTTATACCTTTGGTTAATTGGATTTGATTGTTTTCCGCATTAGCGCCTGACGATGATGAATCGACTTGGATCGGAATGGACGTTTATAGAACGGCGAACCTAGTTAGGGAAGTTTTCCTTGGGAAAAAATATGGCGGACGAGGAGAAAGACTCTCATTCGTCGATTTTTAAGGATTCTGTGAAGGTTTGATTGCTTCTGTATAAGTAGAGAATGGGAACCTGGAGATTTGGGGGTGTAGGAAGTTTGAGACAGATGTTTGAAGACCTTAGGGGTTGGTGTGGGGAAAATATTGAAATTAGAGAAAAAAGTTTGAAACAAAAAATGTAGTTCATGGAAAGCTCTATAAATAAGATTCTATACATTTTTGACGTAAACCTATTAGTTTCGCTGTTATAACCAAAAATGACTCGATGAGGATCAAACTGATGATAAAGCTTCATTTGTTCTCCAGTTCCTCTCAAAGTTTTTACAGTCTTTACTAAATATATCCGAAAATATTGAAGTTAGAGAAAAAAGTTTCAAACAAAAAATGAAGCTTAATAAAAGTTCTATAAGGAAGGTTATATACATTTTTGTCGTAAACATATTATTTCGGATGTTATGACATAAATAACTCAACGTGGGTCATATTGGAGTTTTTATTAAATATCTTCGGAAATATTGATTTAAGAAGAAAAAGTTTCAAATGAAAGATGAAGCTCTTGCAGAGTTCTATAAACAATGATCTATACATTTTTTACGTAAACTTATTATTTTAGCTATTATGAATTATAATAACTCGATGAGGGTCAAACTGATGATAAAGCCTCGTCTGCTCCACAACCCTACATAGTGCCATATAACGAGTACAATAGTTTTACTAGCACAAATGATAATATCATGTACAAGGTCATTTTATCATTATATGATAATATTATACAAGGTCATTCAAATATACTTTTACAGAAAATACTACAAGTTCAAATGTGTGTAATGTTTTTATGCAGTCGATATCGTTGTATTATACACACAGTTGAAACTCCTTCGTAACAGTATTACAGACATAGCAATTAAAAAGTGGATTAATCTAAGGAGCAATTAGAAACATTCTATTAATACGTTGAGTGTCATATTATCACTCATCTAAGCTTAAGAATTCAGTCAATTAGTAACTTTATTTCTAATCAATTATATGACAAAATTTTTAACTTGCAAACAGTAATCGTTGAGAATAAGTGTGTTGAGAATAAATGTTCAGTGATTTTGATATGTGATATCAAGGACAGGGTTCTAAGTAAATGATTGACCAGATATTCGCAAAAAATTGTAATTTTTACCTTAATATCAGTGTTACTTTTCAAGTATAATCCATTTTCTAATATAAAATGTGAAATTTGAATGGTATTTCGATTGATTGGTTGCAGGGTTAAAGTATGTGAAAATACGTGCTGAAAATAAATATAAAAATAATTGCTATAATTTAGGTTAATAATACTTATGATCTAAGTACTATAATTTAATTTAATAATTAAACTATTAATACTTATAGTCTTATAATTTCTACCTTTGAGACATACAAAATTATTGAAAGTAAAAATTAGACTTAAAATTGAATTTATTAGAAGGGTGTGGGAAATAAAGTAGCAAACGTTTACAGTTCCGAAACAAAATAGATAAAGTTTCAAAAAAGATAAAATTTGAACAACATCGGTATAACAATTGATAATTTACTGTCGTCAGTAAAGCGTAGGGTAAATGTTTGCAAAAATTCGTAAATTTGTACTTCATATCTCCATGTAATCATAGATCAATCATTATCGATCAAAGGATTAATAATATGCCGCTAATTAATAATCGTTGTCAATAGAGGTAAGTAATAAGCTTCCGTCCGATAAGATACTAAGACAACTGTTTCTCATTTCAACCTTTTACATTTATGTAACTTAAATTGGCTATGTGGGAATTAGGATATGTGGAATTGGGGAATGTGGGAATTGGGATATGTGGAAAGTGTGATATGTGGGAATTTGGATATGTGGAAAGTGGGATATGTGGGAATTGGGGAATATGGGAATTGGGGAATGTGGAAATTGGGGAATGTGGAAATTGGGGAATATGGGAATTGGGGAATATGGGAATTGGGGAATGTAGGAATTGGGATATGTGGAAAGTGGGATATGTGGGAATTGGGGAATGTGGGAATTGGAGAATGTGGGAATTGGGAAATGTGGGAGTTGGAGAATGTGGGAATTGGAGAATATGGGAATTGGAGAATGTGGAAATTGGGGAATATGGGAATTGGGGAATATGAGAATTGGGGAATGTGGAAATTGGGGAATATGAGAATTGGGGAATATGGGAATTAGGGAATGTGGGAATTGAGGAAATGTGGGAATCGAGGAATATGGGAATTGAGGAATGTGGGAATTGGGAAATGTGGGAATTGGGGAATATGGGAATTCCAACGGAAGTCTTTCGTTCGTAATTTCTAAATAGGTACATATGTGATTAATAAACAATTAAAAACACAAAAAATTAAGTGTCGTATTTGATGCAAAACACCTTCACTGTTCACACGAACCAAACAAATTTTTTATCTTTTATACACTTTATTTTTACAGTTGTGCTAAAATGATGGTGCTAATATCTGTCTCGCCTCTGTTTTTTAATTCTCTGAAATAAATTATACCTTAAAAAATACATTTAGAAATAACACTGGTAAAGTGATTCATTGACAAGAATTTTATTGAGAAACGATTAATCTATGCCATGATATTTATAAATTCCTCCTTTGTCACGAACGAAGCTTCGAGGTTATACGCCATTGAGAAATGTTTAGTATATTGCAGCTCCTAATGCCTTGCTTAAAGGTCTTACTGTAGTCATAAATTACATCTCTTTTAGTATTGAACTTATTCTGTATAAACATTGAATTGCAAAATTTTGAAAAATCATTGAAATCGACTTTGAAGAAATATTGAAAACATTTTCTTATTCTGGAAAAACATTGACTTGTTTCACAAGTTTTTAATATATTGATTAAACATCTCATTGTATCCATGTTTATAAATTATATCTTTTTTCAGTGTTGAACTTATTCTGCAAAAACACTGAATTGCAAAATTTTGAAAAGTCATTGAGATCGAATTTGGAAAAACATTTTCTTATGCTAGACAAACATTGACTTTCAAACTTGTATAGGCAAATAACGAATAAAACAGAGAAAGACTAATCTAATAATTTAATAATTCAATCGATAATTATATTAATAACCTGAAGTTCCAAAAAGAGCTTAAATTTGAAAATAAATTGAATTTAATCTACTAAAGAATATTAGGGTATGTGGAATTGGCATATGTGGAATTGGGATATATGGGAATTGAGATATATGGAATTGGGATATGTGGAATGGGCATATGTGAAATTGGGGACTGTGGGAATTAGGGTATGTGGAATGGGCATATGTGGAATTGGGATATATGGGAATTGAGATATATGGAATTGGGATATGTGGAATGGGCGTATGTGAAATTGGGGACTGTGGGAATTAGGGTATGTGGAATTGGCATATGTGGAATTGGGATATATGGGAATTGAGATATATGGAATTGGGATATGTGGGAATTAACAAAAATGAGTAATATCAAAGAACACGAACAATAACAAATATAAAAGATACATTTAATTATTGTTACAGGCTTGCCCAATTTATTAAAATAACTATTTCCCTGTCCGTGATATGCACGTTTGGAATAGGATTCTATGTAACATTTTCCATACTATGGCCGATGCTCCAAATGAGATATGAAGAATATAAGTACGCCAGTCACTTATTTCGTTTGATTGCAGTATCACTATTCTGTAAGTAAAAATTAATTATACCCCAACAACAAAATACAATCATATTTTCCTATGTCTTCAATCACATTGACATTTATTTCAATCTTAATTAAACATTTAAAATTTTTACAAAACTTCTATTTGTTTGCTTTTTATCAATTTTTTATTTATTTGCAAAATGTGTGAAGTCTTGAATATTTAATGAAGAGAATTTTAATTTTAGAGAAAGAATTTTAATCTTACACTTAAGATTTTCATAAGTTAATTATTTATTAAAATAATGAAAATGATTTTATATTTTGTATGTTGTTTCCTTTGTTGGTTTTAGTTCTTGTTGCCATCTCAGTCCCTCAAATGGTTCCTTTGCTAGGATTACTTACAGCTTTCAGCATAACTACGATTATGCTACTGATTCCTATATTGACGGAGACGATGACAAAATGGCAGACAGCGTCGCGGTTTCTTTTAGCGAAGAACGCCGGTATTTCTATCGTTTGGATAACTTTGTTGGTGAGTCTCAAACGGAATTGTATAATGGATTCATTAGGTAGATTATATACACTCCGTTTTTACTTTACGTAATTATTAAAATTGCTCTATGCAATTTGAAATTTAAATATTAACTAGAATAAATATGCAGTTTGAAATTTAAATATTAACTTCCCACATACCCAAATTCCACATTCCCCAATTCCACATTCCCAAATTCCACATTCCACAATTCTACATTCCCCAATTCCACATTTTCCAATTCCACATTCCCCGATTCTACATTCCCAAATTCCACATTCCCCAATTCCACATTCTCGAATTCCACATTCCCCAATTCCACATATGCCAATTCCACATACCCTAATTCCTACAGTCCCCAATTTCACATATGCCCATTCCACATATCCCAATTCCATATATCTCAATTCCCATATGTCCCAATTCCACATATGCCAATTCCACATACCCTAATTCCTACAGTCCCCAATTTCACATATGCCCATTCCACATATCCCAATTCCATATATCTCAATTCCCATATATCCCAATTCCACATATGCCAATTCCACATATCCTAATTCCCACGGTCCCCAATTTCACATATGTCTATTCCACATATCCCAATTACATATATCTCAATTCCCATATATCCCAATTCCACGTATCCCAATTCCCACATATCACAATTCCACGTATCCCAATTCCCACATATCCCAATTCTTAATATTTATCTACATTAAGAAATAATATAATATTTATATTATTAATATCTATTTATATTAAGAAGTAAATATTGAGTAATATTAATATCACAAATTTATATTTAAATATTGTGAAATACAAACACTCATTATTTGGCAAATTAATTCGAAAATAATTGTGCTGGATGGATATTTGAAATCGAAGACTGATAAACTCGTTATAATCAAACCGACCCTTGAGAAGTTCAATTATAATGAAAGCAAAGATTGTTAACTTCAATATCTAGAAATCGGAAATTGCGAAATTCAATATATTAAAATAAATTAATTGTTAAACTCAGTATCATGAAATCAAAGATTGTTAAATTTAATATGAGAAAATTAAAGATTAATAACTTCAATATGTTGAAATGAAAGGCTTGATAAATTCTATCAAATACTTTAAAATCCAAGGTTATAAAATTTCTATATATTTTCACTCTAAAAAAAAAATATTAAAAATTTCTAAAATAAAAGAAGTTTTCTATAGAAAGATATATTCAGTTCTAAAAGTGTTTAAAGTTTGAGGAAGATCAAGTACATTACGCAAGAAAAATTAATCAATTCCCACTGATTTATCGATCAAGGAAAAATGTAGATATAAGATTTTCATTTTTCTCCTTTTCACTTAATGTCGAAACGCAGTTGCATCATTTTACTTGAAAATGTGGTGCAGTAAAGTTTTACGTTTCGTCATTCGATCGTTTATCAGTAGTCTGTTTTATTTTTCATGCTGATGCAAATTAAGCAAAGATATCGTCTACCATTGGCGTAACTGCAGTTGGGGATTTTAGTGGACATAGGCCTGCATATATGGGATATGTGCAATATAGGAGAATTATCTACCCGCAAGGAGAATTGTCACATACCCCAATTCCCATATTCCCCAATTCCACATTCTCCAATTCCCACATTCTCCAATTCCAACATTCCCCAATTCCACATTCTCCAATTCCCATATTCCCCAATTCTGACATATCCCAATTCCCACATATCCCAATTCCCACATTCCCTAATTCCCACATATTCCACTTTCCACATATCCCAATTCCACATATTCTAATTTCCGCATTCCCCAATTCCACATATCCTAATTCCACATACCCCAATTCCCACATTCCCCAATTTCACATATGCCTATTCCACATATCCCAATTCCACATATTTCAATTCCCACATATGTCAATTCCAACATATGCCAATTCCCACATATCCCAATTCCCACATATCCAAATTCCCAAATATCCAAATTCCCAAATATCCAAATTCCCAAATATCCAAATTCCCAAATATCCAAATTCCCAAATATACAAATTCTCAAATTTGCCAATTGCCACATATCCCAATTCCCACGTATTCCAATTTCCACATATCTCAATTCCCACATATCCAAATTCCCAAATCTGCCAATTGCCAAATCTCCAACCTTCTAAACTTCTAAATTTCTCAAATCCCCCATTCTCAAAATTCCCAACTTTCCAAAAGTCCCTTAGCTGCACCTAATCCAGTACGTCGATACAGTCAATAAAACCAACGCTACTTATCTCACCCTGACCACCACTTCTATTACAGTTATGCCAATGCCCCGAACACGCTGTATTACACGCAATAAAGCATGTTACATGTTGCTGAATTGCTTGTTTCTGCGAAGGGATTATAAACCGTAATGTGAAACGTGATCTGTAATTTAGCTTTGCGTAAAATCGGACGAAGTTTCAAGCTAGTGCATACACGAGAACTACTTCAATATCGATTTCGCTCAAACATTTCGTCATCTGATCATTGTTCTGCTCGATTTGCTGTTATTTTCTTACAAAGCATTGTAAATATTTGTTCTGCTCTCGATTATGGTTGAAATAAAAGGAGTACAAAGCTGAGAGACTAGGTAATTGCTGGAAAGATTTTTCATAAGAAAGAAATATAATAAAATTGAAATAAATTGTGCATTTTCTATTTTGCTGTTAGTAATTGTTTAAAATATTGTTTAAAATATTTTTGCTGGTATAATCAAGGAAATTTGAATGTAAAAATTGTTTTAAAGTTGAGAACTAAGGGAAGAAGATTTGTCTGAAAGATTTATCTAATTTCATTTTTATTTAACATCATTATGTAGAAAATGAATTTAAGTTGTACTTGAAATGCATTTAAATTATACATTAAATTGTATTCAAAATTGCATTTAAGTTATATATAAAATTGCATTTAAAGTTGCACTTAAATTACATATAAAATAATAATCGAAACAGCACTTGAAATACATGTATATACAAAATAATATTCAAAATTGCACTGAAATTATATATAAACTTGTATTGAAAAATTTCACTTAAATTACATATAACATGGCATTTAAAATTCACATAAAATTCCATATAAATTGCACTGAAATTATACATAAACTTGCATTGAAAAATTTCACTTCAACTACATATAAAATTACATTTAAAATTTATATAAAATTCCATACCAATTGCACTTAAATTGTACAAAAAATTTTTAACTATTTTAATATTTATTTTTAACAATATCTCCTCGAAATATTTCTACCCAACTCTAATAGAGCAATTTCCAGGTGTTTACAAATCGCTCACCGTGTAATAATATTTCAAATACTTAAGTGGTCTGTAAAGTCAAATGAGATATGGAAAGCAGTAACTCATGTTTATTCCGTTGCATCGAAACGTGAAGGCCATCTTCAGTTTTTCAAATAGAACAACAAATATTTCTTGCTTAAATTCGACACATTATCAACTGTTGCAGCAAAGTGTTACAACGAATTTAATATTAAGACACTAAAATATTAAGTGAAAAAATTATCTACATTTTAGTTTAATTTATGATTGTTTTTCTTTTGAATGTTTCTTTTTTTAATGTCTAACAGATCTTTGGAGCGATCGAAAGTATGCGGACCATCATCAGGGAATACGGCAGCGTGAAAGAGGAAGGATGCTGATTAAAGAAACACCTTTTCCAGATGCATTTTCTGAAATTAACGCAATTCGTATTTTATAGGGATCTTTGAAATATATTTTGTACTATAATTTATGAATAAATTTTTTCTTATTTTTCTCTGCTCTTTCATTTTTTGTAATTGTGGAAATTATTGACAGAAAGCTTAAACAAAACAAGAAGTACTGATTATGAGAATATAAATAATTTTATAATCATAAATTATAAATAAATTATAGATAATAATTTTACAATCATAAATTAATAAATTATGGAAGGAACAAACATTGAAAAATATATGATTTTATAAAACAATTTTATTAAATTATAAAAATAGAACAGAAAATTATTGTGTCATTTAATAAGAAAATAAACATAAATTAATACGAAAATATTTAAGTTTCATTGAAAAGAATATTGATAACTTGACTGAGGGACTAAGAAAGAAGATTATATGTAAAATTTATTTAATGAAATGTAAAAAGAAACAATTTTATGCCATGAAAAGTTTCATACAAAGTCAGAAATTTTTACCTTTTGTTTCGTTTGCATGTTTATCAAACGCAGGAAAGAATGCAGCGATACAGTTATGTTTTTCTGTTCGCGGTAATGGATTTTTGCAAGTTAATGAAATTAATTGCAACAGCAGAAAGAAAAGATTAATCCCGGAAGGAGTTCTTGTGCAAATCAGATGACGTACTAGGAAAAAAAAATATGATCGATTGTTCTAATTGTGAAATATAATTTATACGGTTCGTCGTCGCAGTATGCATACGTTAACAATTATAAAAATATTTCTTGACATTTCTACCAATTATTTTCACTAGAAATTAATTTGTAAGTTACGAGTCTATGTAATTTACGAGTCTAAAATTTTTTAATCAAAATTCAAGTTGAAATTTACGAGTCTAAAATTTTGTGGTCGAAACTAAAGTACAAAATATTGCAACGTGAAATATTTTAATTGAAGTGAACCAAACCTTCCACAATGTTTATCATTGTTTACAAAGTAGTTAGTGCAAAGCTCCTTATCAATTTTCCGTTAAAATGACTAAATTATACGTTGGCGAAGAAATAATTTACTTGCGTGTTTCGTAACGTCCTGCTTTTATTCCCAATACTTGTTCACTATTTTTAGTTATGCGGTATCAAGATAAATAGTAATGTGATAATAGATTAATTTCTATAAGCAAGAATTAAATCTTGTTTATTGTCATTTGTATTGAATATGACGTATTTTAATCTTTTGAGTATGAAAGGTGTGATAATCGGACAGCTGTAAGTATGAAGACGCAAAAATTAATCTGTATTCGATTTTAGTGGTATTTAGATATCTTGATAATCTTGATAACTTAGTATCGATGAAATTACGTTGGCATATTTTTCTTGTAGTTAAAAAAGGATATTCGATCATTGTTTAATTGAGACTCTACACTATTTCTCTTTTTATTATTTATTATCCTCGAGACAAGTTTGGACCAATAGGAGAGCTACAGTGTTCTATGTATTACAGTGTTTAATTTAACATATTATGTGTAGTTAAACGCATAATAATTTCACGTGTGTAGTTAAACACACGTGTTAGATATTTCAAAAACATAGTTCGATAGTTTGAAAAATATAATAATGTATAGTTACATTAATAATATAATGTATAGTTTACTTTCCTAACCTAATTTAAAAAGTATGGTGGAGTCCTAACCTAATTTAAAAAGCATGGCGGAGTCCTAACCTAATCTAAAAAGCACTCGCGGCCATGAGCGAACTATTAGGATTGAAATTCTAGGTTAGAAGCGATCATGCGAACAGTTTAGATTTACGTTAAAAAATGACTGGAATTTGCAGAAAATATAACCTTCGTTTGATGAAGAAATAGTACATTTTTCTTAAATAATAAATGATTTAAAAAATGACCTGCTCAGTTTTATCGACGTAACAATATTTATCTGGTTATGATAAGAACTACGCATTACTTATTTGTAATGTATTAGGATTTGAGAATTTCATGACGTATATTAAGATCTGAAAAAACTGTTTTCGTACATTTTTGCAAATATTTATCAATGTGTTCACTACATTCTTAGTTAAGAATTAAATTAATTTAATTATAATTCGTTCTTATATTTAATAACTAAAATCGAATTGCTCCATGTTTTGTCAAATATAGTTTCAATCTAGTTTCATTCTTTGCGCAATTATATTTGACTATAATTGCACATTTATTTATTCAAAAAATTGTAAAATTTTACTAATTTAAAAAGTTGATTATAAAAGTTCATTCACTTTGAAATGTTTCTTATTCGCATACGATAATTTACTAGCAGTGCGACCATGCTCTCCTGATACATGTAATCAACGTCGAGTGGTCTATGTTAACGGTTCATTTTTATCTCCACGTAATAATTTCGTATACATTTCTCAGACGTGTCAGCGAAAGAGTAATATTTAAAAGGTGCCAATTTAAACTGATACATTTCAGTCTATTTCAAAAGTAGAGACTTTAGGATCAAGTTTAAACATAATAATTCAGAGTGTAATTATAACTTATACCATTTAAAAAGTATTTCAAAAAAATTAAACTTGTACTCACACGTTAAATATTTATGATATTTAAATTTAATATAATTTAATAATTTATAAGGTAATTATAATTTATATCATTTAAAAATTAATTCAAAAAATTAAGCTTGTAACATGTCAATCACTATGGTAGTAATATGTGATGTGCAGATGCAGTTAAATTGATTATTTATAGTAAAAGCAAACTTGTCAATTTTTGTTCCCGACGAAAGTAGAGATTTTAGAAAAAAATTTAACCTTAATAATTCGTAGGAAAATTATAATTTATATTGTAAAAAATTCGTTCAGAAAAATTGAAACTATCAGTGCTACATAGTCACATGTGATGGGCGTTGCAGATTCATTCATAACGATTAACTATTAATTATTTATAACAAATGCAACTGAAGGGATCTTCTTAGGGTACTCGGTATAATAATATAACGGACTAAATGTTCAAATTAAAAGTTCAAGTACCGTTGCAACTATTAATTATTTATAATAAAAGCAAAGGACAGGAACATCTGAAAGTGTTGATATAATGATATAACAGACTAAACGATGAAATTAAAAGATTAAGTACCCCTGCAACTATTAATTATTTATAATAAAAGCAAAGGACAGGAACTTCTGAGGGTATTGATATAATGATATAACAGACTAAATGATGAAATTAAAAGTTCAAGTACCGTTGCAACTATTAATTATTTATAATAAAAGCAAAGGACAGGAACATCTGAGAGTGTCGATATAATGATATAACAGACTAAATGATGAAATTAAAAGATTAAATACCTCTGCAACTATTAATTATTTATAATAAAAGCAAAGGAAAGAACATCTGAGGGTATTGATATAATGATATAACAGACTAAACGATGAAACTAAAAGATTAAATACCTCTGCAACTATTAATTATTCATAATAACAGCAAAGGTAAGAAACTTCAGGGAGAGACTAAATAATGAAATTAAAAGATGAAGCTCCTTAACAACCTCAGATTATCCCACAAACACTTGAAGTCCACATTAACCCGAACGGTGACTTTTCAAACGCAAAGGGTTACCAATTCCCGTGCCCTTCAATACCCCATTCCTCGCAACGCAAACGCGTCATGATTCATGCCTGCACCACTTACGCAACGCAGAAAACCGCATATCAAGCGAGTAAGCGGCAGGCAAGAGGAAAAAGAGCGTCACCAGGGAAAAGAGTTCAGGAGAGCAAGTACGGAGAGGGGTAGGTGAATCGTGGAGGGAAGAATAAGAGGGCAGGAGGATGTTAACGAACCAGAGTAAGACAGAGGGAAGGTGAAAGGGAGCCGCAGATGCAGACGGTGCAAGATCGGTTCGGTTGAACGAAGCCGATCGCGATGGCCCTGTCTGGCCGCGATCGCCGCGATGCTAAGGACGACTCGCGATCGTCTTCGTAAGCACGTCCGATAGAGCTTATTAGGAGAACGGCCTCTATCTCCCCTCCCACGCGTCGCGACGTCGATTCTAGCGAGACGCTCTATACACGCGTATATATACCTGCGTAACGCCGAAAAAACCTGGCCAGTCGTGTGCGACGCCTATCAACGTTCCACGCGGATTTCCGCGCTGTCACTCTGCAACCGGTGTCGTCTCACGACTGGGTTCACACCTCGTCAATTCTACCAAGAAAGAATTTTACCCGGGAAAATCTGAGACATTCGGAATGTAGTTGTTAGAATTCCATTATCTGTGAAACTGCGATAAGGGAAATCCTGGGGAATCAGTGGAAGACTTTGTGGCGGAACAGAAGCTCGCTGCAGTTTATCGTGCAATTAACACGGGTGCGAAGATCATCCAACGTATTATCGTCGGTTAATAAATCAAGCTTGTGACATTGATCACGATTGGTTTTCAAGATCCGCTGATAAATGTTATCGGAGAACATTGTAGGCACATTGGAGGCGCGAAGCGATTAAAGGTTTCGCGATTTGAGGAAGATCAGGAAGCACATTGGGAAAGTAACGTGGATGTGAATAGTTTGATAGACGATTTGTTCAACGTTTTAAAAAGGAACATCGACAAGACACGTTCTGCAGTTGTTTTGGAATTCGACGCTCGAGGACACGCGTGAGTACATTTACGCTAAGCGTATTCAGAGATTCGTGCAAAATTGTGCGATAAATGACGAACATTCAGAATATGTGTTACGTAACGAAATTTTACAACTGAATTGAAATCGAGATACATTTCTTTGATCAATCGTTATCCGGGGTGTTTATGAATTTGAACATTTATCGTGTGGAGTTGATTAAATTTGTATGAGCAGCCTTCGCGAAATTATTCACTACAAATTTTTGATATCGGAGAGTATTTTTGGTACAAGTTTTGAGAGGATGAGGTTTGTTTATTTATGAAGTTCGAAAGGTGGAAGACTACACTACTTAACGTTAGTGATGGCGCTGCAATAGTAAAATTTGGATATTTTGGTTATTGTTGTAGTAAGGAGATTGACAGGAGTTGATTTTAAAATTTCAGATATGAAAATTTGGGTTGGTAGAAATTACAACTTTGGGATTTGGTGATTTGAGGATTTGAGAATTTGGGGATTTGGAGATTTAAGGATTTGGTGATTTAGAAATTTGGGAATTTGGAAATTTGGAGATTTAGCAATTTAGGGATTGTGGGATTTGGGGATTTGGGGATTTGGGAATTTGAGAATTTGGAGATTTGGGCATTTGAGTATTTTGAGATTTAGAGATTTGGGGATTTAGAAATCTGGGAACTTGGAAAATTGGGTATTTGGAGATTTGGGCATTTGAGAATTTTGAGATTTAGAGATTTGGGGATTTAGAAATCTGGGAATTTGGAAAATTGGGTATTTGGAGATTTGGGCATTTGAAAATTTGGAAATTTGGAGATTTGGGGATTTGGGAATTTTGAAATTTTGAAATTTGGGAAATTTGAGATTTGGAAATTTGGGGATTTGGTGGCTTAGAAATTTGGAAATTTTGAGATTTGGGAATTAGGGGACTGGAAGATTTGGGGATTTGAAAATTTGTGAATTTGGAAACTTAAAGATTTGAAGGTTGGGGCCTTTGGAAATTTGTTAATTTGTGAATTATTTAATTTAATAATTTGCTAATTTATAAGTTAGAAAAGTTACTAATTCACAAACTTGATGATTTGGTAATATGATAACATGAAAATTTGTCCTTTTAAAATTAGGGAAATTGTAGATTTGAAAATTTGACTGTCTAATAACTTGATGATTTTCAAATGTAAAAATCGGAATATTAAAAATTTCAAACTTCTGCAATTTAATTTTTCAAATCTCTCAATTCGGAAGCTTAAAAATCCAAACTACATCAAAAACAAAATGTAATTTTTCGAATATTACTTTATTTCTCCGCAACAATTTACGCAAAATTCTCCTAAAAAGAACAAAATTTCAAAGAAAACTAAAATACAGTCATTCCACATTTTATCACACTTCCTGTCAAATCGCCCATATCCACAATTTCATAACACTTAAAATGTTAATACCTTTCGAAAATACAACACCCGTTAATTAATTATATCTAAATTATTTTTTATCTATTTAAATTGCCGCTAAAGTACATACAGTAAATAAAAGTAAAGGGAGGAAATATGTGCGTCACTGAAGTTGCGTCATGTCCGATTTTTCTTACCATTTCGCGTAGTTTGCCGGGAGTTAGCGATCCCAGTTATCTCGAAACTATGTATGTGTTGACCGAATATTAAAGTGCACCTTTATCGTGGAATGCGGTTAACAGCTGGTAATATAGGGAAATGACGCGTTTGAGGGTAATTGCGTGTTGCACGATTACGTGCATCAATGCGCGACAAGTAATTCTACCTTACAATCTGTTCTCTTCATTCTGGCATCGGTTATTAGATGAAATCTTGTTGAGTTTCGAACGGCATTTATCGATGCCTGTAATCTGTTTCAAACGAGAAGTGATTGTAACTCACGTCGTTTTCTTGCTTTCCTTTTCGTTCCGACTGAGTCATTAAGCGGACTTTGATTCAGCTTTAATTGAATTTGCTCGAGTTTCTACGATTGCAATATGACTTGATACGTTGAATGAGATTAATATTTGGCTAAGTAGCGGTTGGGACGCAAAAAATTGCGTTTCTGTTGGGATGTCGTGCTGAATGTCGTGAAAGTTTCGCTGTATCACTGCACAAAAAGTGTTATGTGCTCCGGAGTGAAATGTTACCTGACAAACACTTGGTTCATTTCCCTCGGTACCGTAATTCTCAGACACTGAATCGAAGGGTTATATAATGCGCTTGGGATGAAGCGCGAGGAAATGATTGAATGAAGCGTTATGTTGGCGTGGATGGAACTGTTGACATAGTTAGAAAATTTGTAATTTGGAGGTCTTCAAGTTTAGGGATTGTGGGATTTGAGAATTTAGAGATTAGGGGATTTGGGGATTTGTGAATTTTGAGATTTAGAAATTTGGGGATTGAGAAATCTGGAAATTTGGAAATTTGGCGATTTGGGGATTTGGGAATTTAGAAATCTGGAAATTTGGAAATTTGGGTGTTTGGAGGTTTGCAAAGTTGGAGATTTGGGCATTTGAGAATTTGGAAATTTGGAGATTTGGCAATTTGGGAATTTGGGGATTTAGAAATCTGGAAATTTGGGTATTTGGTGATTTGTGAATTCTGAGATTTAGAGATTTGGGGATTTAGAAATCTGGGAATTTAGAAAGGGTATTTGGTGATTTGGGGATTTGGGGATTTGTGAATTCTGAGATTTAGAGATTTGGGGATTTAGAAATCTGGGAATTTAGAAATTTGGGTATTTGGTAATTTGTGTTTGGAAGATTTGCAGATTTTTGCGTTTAGAAATTTGCAAGTTTCTAAAATCACAATTTTTTACTTAAAGGCTCTCAACGCTTCAATATGGATGTTCTCAGATTTGCAAAATTGTGAATTTCCAATTTAATAGTTTTCAAGTTTTAAAATTTACAAATTCTCTAGAGGTAATCAAGTTTTCTTAAAGAACAGATTTCTGATTTAGGGGCTCTCAAATTTTCAATATGGAAGTTTTCAAATTTGCAAAAATGATAAATTATAAATTTAATAGCTCTCAAGTTTTAAAATTTACTAATTTTTCATCTAGAGTTTCTAAAATTTTAAGAAATTGCAGATTTTCAATTAAGAGTGAAACTTATTTACTTCCTGAGATTATTATTTTAAGTTCATGGGGGTAATGACTCTCACGACATCTATCGAATAGTATCTGAAGTATTATAAAACTGTATAATAAATCATAAAAATGTGCGATGAAAGCATAATAACACAATACATATGTATGAGACAAGTATATAATACAACATAAATCTATGATAAAAGTATAAATTTAACACCAATAAATTAATAATAAAAAATATTTGAATAATAATAAAATCACAATTACTAACAATTGTACAATTTTACCCTTTATATAAATACACGCTAAAAATATATAATATAAAACAGTAAATGTGTACAGTAATATATACAATTTTATACAAAACCCAAAATTTAGATTTTCATTCCAAATTCACAGACATATTTTTTTGTTAGAAATTGCTGCTTTTTTTCATCATCAGAACATTAAACAAAGAGTTTATTTTCAATTCAAAGATTATTTGCATTAACACTTCTTACGATTACGTTTTAAAATTTATACATTCATCTATGAAAGAATCAAGTTAACCTTGGAATCACCTACAAAGAGAAAAACAAAGAAAACTTCATTTCTGTGAAAAGAAACATAGAAAGCTTCCTTAGATCATATATTTCAAGCAACTGTCAGCTTAAGTATTATTTCAAGTGCTATTGTTTCAGACTTATCTTGAGAATCCATGCTATTATAAACGGCTTACAAAGTATAAACAGAAGTAAAGTATTTAATGTAGCCACAATTATTCCGATAGATAATGTTTATAGCGTGAGAACTGTAATAAACTCTCAATTTAAATTTTTATGTAAATAGATTATTTTTACAACAGAACATATAATAGCAAAATAAATCGAATACAATTATAATCACAAATATAATCACTGTGTAAAAATTAAATCTTCCATTTACAAATTTTCATGTAAGCAAGTAATACTGAGTTATATATAAATCACTAAACCTAACCTAAAAATAAAAATCATAAAACCTAACCTATGATGAAACCTAAACTAACCTAACCTATATGAAACCTAAACTAACCTAAACCTATGATTCTTTTGAAATAATTGAAATAATTTGAGATGTCAAATTTTATGGAGTTACTGAAAATTGTTGAAAATTTTATTAAGTTATTGAGGTCCTGAAAATTTCATGAACTGAGGTTGTTGAAAATTCTTTGAACTTATAAGACATTTTTACACAAATTTAGTACTAATAGAAGTACTAATAGAAGACTGTGCAGACTCTAGTTAATCAATTTGACCATTTGAAAAATTTAAATAAAAAATTTGTTGACCATAACAGTCTATCATTCAGCAAAATTTATATATACACAAAATCCAGACAAAAATCATTGGTACAGTGATTTACTGCATCAGTCAAAAATTACTGGTCCAGACCCCATCATTACCAGTTTTAGCACTCATTTAAGAGGAATTTCTAAACACACCATATAATTTAAGTTTATAATTCGTGTATTATTTTATAATTCCACATATGCATCATATTCATCATAACATCATATTTTATAATGTTTCTCCAACAAATACCAGTAGCCACAACAGCTACAATTCCAGATCTGAATTATCTCCAATCCCACAAGAATTTCGCAAGCACTTTCTTTATCTCCCCACGTATTTTTCCCGAGCACCATTCGTTAAATCGACGAGATCGAAGCAGCGTTGAGCAACGATCGTATCAAGAATCGTTTGAATGTGCATACACAATTATTGCACCGCGAGACGGATGTTGTATCCTTGAACGCTTCCACGGGAACGTGCACCACACAATCCACACGGGACTTTCTAATGTCAGGAAGCAGAAAAGGACTCACGATGTGGCTAATAAATATTCTGATGTAAGCAAGGGACAGAAAGGAGTCACGAGCAAACCGACAGTTAGGGAGAATTATACTGGACGAGAAGTGTACCGAGAACTGCTGCTAATACACAGAGAACTATGGCTAATGCACAGACTATCTAGGATCCCGAGAGTTGAAATGTCGATATCTTGGGATAATATCTACACGAATTGTCGTGGTTGGTTCGTGGAAACTCGCACGAGCGTGGTTTACAAAAGGTCACGCAACAATTGCCTCCCTTTTGCTGGGAAAATGTGTGCTGCTGTGTTGAGGTACAGTGCCGGGCAGATTAGGTCGTTTCTGAAGAGTTGGGCAGCGGTGGGCTGCTGTAGGCTTATGTAGATTTCGAGAACTTTGATTTTTTAAGTTGCAAATTTGGTACTTTGTTAGTTTGGAAACTTGGGAATTTGGTAGATGATAAATTTGGAAGTATGGGAAATTTGGAAGATGAGGAAAGGAAGATTGGGAAATATGGAAGTTCGGACATTTGCAAGGTTGGAAATTTAAGAGTTTGGAAACTTGATGGTTTGGGACTAAGGAGATTAGTGCATTTAGAAGTCGAGAAATTTGCAAGAAGTACATTTAGAAGTCGAGAAATTTGTAAGATTAAAAACTTGAAAATTAGGAAATTTGGAAGATTGGGAAATATGGAAGTTTGGACATTTGCAAGGTTGGAAATTTGGGAGTTTGGAAACTTGGAGGTTTGGGTTTAGAGAGATTAGTACATTTAGAAGTCGAGAAATTTGTAAGATTAAAAACTTGAAAATTAGGAAATTTGGAAGATTGGGAAATATGGAAGTTTGGACATTTGCAAGGTTGGAAATTTAAGAGTTTGGAAACTTGGAGGTTTGGGACTAAGGAGATTAGTACATTTAGAAGTCGAGAAATTTGCAAGATTGAAAATTTGGAAGATTGGGAAACATGGAAGCTTGGACATTTGCAAGGTTGGAAATTTGAGAGTTTGGAAACTTGGAGGTTTAGGACTAAGGAGATGAGTACATTTAGAAGTCGAGAAATTTGCAAGATTGAAAATTTGGAAGATTGGGAAACATGGAAGCTTGGACATTTGCAAGGTTGGAAATTTGGGAGTTTGGAAACTTGGAGGTTTGGGTCTAGAGAGATTAGTACATTTAAAAGTCGAGAAATTTGCAAGATTGAAAATTTGAAGGTTTGGAAATTTAGAGACATGAAAATTTGAAGATTGGAAAATTCACCTCGACTCCATTTTTATTGCAACCGACGGTCGGCCATTTTGTCCACATTCGCAAAAAATAAAATGACTTCCATAAAACTTGTGGAATTTAAATGGAATTTAAACAACTGCTATTTTCTATTTTCTCTACCTTAAATTCAATAGTTCTAGCTTTAATTTATGTAAATTTGCAAAATAACAATCTAACATAAGAATTTTAACGAACAGTCTATAATTTTGAATAATTTTTATTTTGCAAATCCTTTCGGTTGTTGTCCTTTGTTACAATAGAATCATTTTTGAAACTAAATTTATCGAAACATTACATAACAAAAAAAATACTAAATTACACATTATACACTTAAAAAATGGATCCTAAATTGTACTTCACAAATGTAGCAATATACTACGCTTTTACTTTTGTACAATCTTCCTGGTCGATTTGTTCCGTTTCAACTGCGAACCTACACAATTTCAATTGAACGGTATCCTCTTCCTCTCAAACAAAACAGTCAAGAAAAACTGTGGAATTCTTTTGTGAAGAACAATAACGTTTAAAGTTAATTAGTTTGACGTAACAGTACACGTGAACATAGTTTGCCTCTTAATAAAGGCATCTGCATTTTGCAACTGCAGAAACTGTAACTAAGAATTTCTTCTTTTTTCGTCATCACCAAAATGATACAAATTTATATTTTTTTATCATCCTTGTCTTTGATGTGACGTCAAAATCTTTATCGTTTTTAAATTTTGAAACGTAGGTACTTTTTCAAAATGCTATACTTCACGATAAGTGGAGGTAAATGATAATTCGTATAATGGAAAGTTTTCATCGATAAAACACCTACGTTGTTTACATACAATTAATCGACGAAATCGGAGTATGAATGATTCGATTTGTGGACATTGTTGATATCAGAATTAAATTAATCGGTTCCGATGATATTAGGATCACCTAAGATGCTCTCAGATTTAATCTTTGAAATATCTTTCAATGTTTATCAACATTTTGATGATTGTGTACTTTTATTGGTGGGGCCACAACTTTTGTAATTTTATATTTTATATTTGTTGTTATACTTGATGCTGAAGGTTGAAGGTTGGAGGTATACCTAACCTAACATTATACAATAGTATGTCGAATAGTAATATTCATATAGTAATGTACCTGATAATATTCATACAACAATATACCAATATATATAACAATATACTTATTTATATAACATTGTATCGAATATTTATACAAAAATACACTAAATAATAATATTTACACAGCAGTACCTAACCTAAAATATTGATTATGTTCGTGTACTCGTTCTCACTATGGAATGCCTTGAATTTTTAATGTATTCAAAGGAATTTGTATTAACTCACGATCTTCAAATAATGTTTACAAACATTCAATTTCATGAGTTATCCATCAACTACATAATTTTAAAAAGACCCCTCAACAACTTCAGATGAAAAATCTAAACGATTTCATATCAAAAATCTGTTTGACAAGGTGTAATTTAGTTGGACACTATCAATATGAAAATGTATAACTTCCTGCCAGCTTTTCGTTGTTTCATATTTTTTTTAAATGTTCCGTGTGGGTGTTGCTTATATAATTTTACTACATTTTACTTTGTGTTTTTATCCTCATAACTGTGTTCTTAAATAAGCAATGTTGAGAATAAACCTCTTTTGCATGTTTCAATCACTACACCTTTTTTTTCTAAACAAAAATTTGCTTTTACTATTTAAAAATTTTTATTATTTAAAAATTGGCGAAAATCATTTATAAAATTTTTTAATAAAAGAGACGACAAAAATAAAATATAAAATTGTGATAACTGAGACTTACGTGAACTATTTTTACATTAATCCTAATATTATAGTGTGCTTAAACTTATCAATTAATTTTTACTGAATTGAAGGGATTATTGATTTCTAAGATGTACTTTGTACCAGATATTACTATTAAAAGCACTAATATCTTTGTATCTATTCTTTGTATCAATTGATTAAAATATTAGAACGATGAAATTGCTATTTTATGCCGATAACGAGTAGATTTTGCAATTATTACGCAGAAACGGGAATTAAACGTCACTATCGATACGAAACTCGAGTGTCTCAATAATTTCAAAAGGTATTAATTGATCACACATTTTGATAATGGATTTAATATTGGCGCGACGTAATTACTTTCGTAAGAACATTGTCATGTGAAACGACTACCGTGCAGACGATAAGAAATTTGGATTGAATTAAATATTGATGATCTAGATTACTTGGAATCAATACTTTTATATCTATATATTTGTTAAAATATGTCGTGTCACTGGCAGTTTGATCTTATGGTAGAAATTTTTGTGATAATTAAATTCACGTGGGAGACTATTTTAATGACTTGTATAAAATTATAGTCTTGTAAAATATTTTTGAAACAATTTCATATGTGAGATGTTTAATTTTATAATAATTGTTATATAATTCTTGCGAAGTTATTAATAATAATTATAGTAACTATTGTCTAAGAAATCTACAAAAATATAACCTGTTTTAGAAATTGCTATAATTTTGTAAAATATTTTTCAAATAAGTTCTAATGTGAGATATGTAATTTTATAATAATTGTTATATAATTCTTGTAAAATTAATAATAATTATTATAATAACTATTATATCAGAGAAATCTACAAAAGTATAGCCTGCTTTAGAAAAATTTTCTTAGAGCATACTTTTTAATGAAAAAATGAAAAACCACACTACATACAGAATGTCATATAATTTTTAACGCAATCAAAAATAAAATTAATTAACCCAAAAAAGTGAGAAGAAAATATAAGATAAAACTTCTATGTAAAAATTGAAGGGTTGAAGAAAATCGATCCTAAAATATTTTTCAAGTACAAACTTCCAAAGCTGCTATTTAATTACGTAGATTCTGTTAATTTAATTATGCAGACTCTTCGTGTTTCGTTTTATTTAATTATGTAGAATCTTCGTGTTTCATTTAACTTAATTATGCAAAATCTTCGTGTTTCTTCCTATTTATAAACAGATATAAAGATTCATAGTGAAGTGAATGTGTTGATAAAATCTTCTGAATGAATCTATAAATCAAGTATCCTAAAATTCTTGAGAAGCGAATTAAAACTTTGGTATTAAATTCCTGGGAAGATTTTGAGTGTTTTAAAAATGATTTTCTTTCAGATCCATCATGGAGAAGGATTCGAAAGAACAAAGCGCGGGAAATCCGATGCAGGAGTTTAACAGCAGGTATTTAACAAATTATTTTCATTAACTTTTAGTTTACTTTTTACTTCTTTTCTGTTTCGTTCTAATTTTATAAAGAATATTGATCAATTATTAATTTTTTATATTTTTTTTTGTTCTTTAAAAAGAAATTTTTTCTAAAAGTTTCTTTCGTAAATGAGAAAAATATTAATTTAATTAACATATTTTAAAATTAGTACACGAAAAGAAAATTAAGAAAAAACATCAATTTCTTTAACAACAATCGAGAAACCTAATTGATCTTCCATTAACTATTAATTATTAATAACTATTAATTATTAACTAACTATTAATTATAACGTACAAATATAGCCAAAGAAGTAGAGTACAGAAAATAAATTCATTAAACTACATTTTACAGTAAAAAATGTTAGAATCGCTTCCTTTAAGGTATCATACAATTTCAAGTTTGCATTTTATGGTTTCTAAGAAATGTTAACTCATATCTCGAGAAATCGCATAAAGGATAAACTACTTAGTAATACAAGGAAGTAATATATTCAAGGATAAGCGTTCTAATTTATTTCTATTTTTTGTTGCCAGCACAAAAATAGCTACTGTGATTGGAGATTTCAATGAGAAGGATCAACTATACAATCCTTTCGAACATCGTGATAAGAAGAATACCAATTCGTAAGTATTTTTATTATTACTACAAAAAATAAATCTTTTAGAATTTCAACTTTTGTAATTAATTTATTGTTGCACTTTATTAATCATTCTTAGAAAGTCATTTTTCATTATCGAAGTTTTTAATCATTTGATGACAAATTTTTTATTCGCCATTTTTATCATTTTTTATTATTTTTCATAATTTTTCATCGTTTTATTATTTTCATCATTTTTTATTATTTTGCATCGTTTCATCATTATTCATCATTTTCGTCATTTTCATCATTTTTCATTATAAATCTTTGTACTATAATAGGAAAATTAGTAGTTAACAGTTAACCGTGCAATCATTCATGCACAGCAAATGCAACACTTGTCCACGTGATACATGTGTTCGAACCATTTAATGATTGACATTACGTATCGTTATGATAACATTTTTGTAAACGATATCATCTGTTTAATAACATGTTATGTCAACAGAAAATTTTCCTCATTCTACATTCCTCTGTGCAAAATAAAATAAGTACTTCTAACTTGTCAGTGAACGTCCTTGTTCTACATAACAAAATTTTAGATAATAAATGTGATAAAACTGTTTATCCGATATTATTGTCAATACATTTATTTCATTAAAAAAATATAACAAATTAAAAGTAAACTAAATTATATTTTTTGAGGTATAATAAATAATTAAATTAATATCTAAGAGTTCCCTTACGTATATCTATTAGCAATAATATTTCTAAAGTCAAAATTACATAAGTTAAATAAATTATATTAATTATAGTATGAACTACATGAACGATTATATAGAGTTTCAATTTTGTTACAAAGAAATTGCTATCATTTTGCAAAATTCATTCTTTAATTCAATAAAGTATAAAGCTTGAAGATCTGCAAAAACACCAATTGCAAATACATCGAACGAGATTCGTGCAAACAGATCTGTTTTTATTTTATCAAACGCACCAGTGAAAATGAATTTCATTTACTTAAAAAACATTCCTTTATTAGAGTAAATCGTTCAATTACAGATATTGATTTTGAAAATATGACATTCATGCAGCAGTTTTTCATTAATTAATTGTGCAAACTGACGTAAATCCACAATTGACTCACTTAATTATTGCAAAATAAAATACGTACTGTACAGTTATCAATGAAACTTTGTTATTTTATGGAGTTTACTCAACTGAGCAGTCTCAACGCCATTTTGAGGGCAGACAACCATTTAGATAACCTTAAAACTACCACACTAGTCAAAATAACAAATTTCACTTTAAATAAATTCACAAATTCTTTGAATAATAAAATTTAAAATAATCATCTCAACTTGAATTTTCTTTAAACCATTGTTAATTTTTATTTAGATAAAGAATTAATATTTACTAATGTAAATATCATCTGTATGTTTACTAATGTAAATATTAATAATGTAATGTGCTTCGTAATTTTTTTAAATCCAGTGTACGATATTCACAAGTTCAGTTAACTCGAGCAGGCATACTAATTGTCTTACATCACTATGCAACGCTCAACGTGTTTATTAAATAATAACCATTTATCCGTGAGATGTTAACAGAAAATTTAGCAGAGTAACAACATTGTTGCGTGTTACAGAATTTATTTATTTACGCTTCTACTGTATTTTCATTTTAAGTTCATAGTGCGTTGTTGATAGGTTTAGTCAATTTGCGCAAGTACACTAACTGTTTCATATCGTTGTATAACGTTCAGTGTGTCCATTAAATAATCACTTTTGAGAGATGTTTGAGAGATGTTCAAAGAAAATTTAACAGAAAAACAATGTTCTCTCAAATAACAAAATTTGTATATTTATATTTCTATTTCATTTTTCATTTTAAATCCAGAGTGCGTCATTCGCCGGTAGATGTAACTAACTCAAGCATACTAATTGTTTAACATCACAGTGCAACGTTCAACGTACCTATTAAACGCCATGCACTATGACTTATTTGTTATGTGCGTCAGTCAGAACTAATTACAACTACAATATTAAAACAGAAAAAAATTGAAATGTTATGTCAATATGTTGTTATTCAATCGTTGACTGTGCAAATTATAATTGGATTTGAACTCCAAATTGAAGCGTATTAAAAATTTGAGTAAAATTGATCACGGCTGAGGTACGAGTGCGTCATAAGTCAGACTCGTCAAAATAATGCAAGGAGTTAATCTCTGTGTATCTGAGACTTGCAAATTTATCTTGTTCATTTGTACAAAAAATGTTTCCCGTTACAGGGACCTGGGTTCCATGGCGCACTTATTGAAGTCGTCGCTGGGTACAGGGATCCTCGCCATGCCAAATGCCATAAAAAACGGCGGAGTTCTATTCGGTGGAATTGGAACGATAATAATCGGCATGATATGTGCCCATTGTGTCCACATACTGGTCCGCTCGTCCCACGTGCTCTGCAAGCGAACGAAAACGCCTAAGATGACATACGCTGAAACCGCGGAGGCCGCCTTTCTTTACGGACCAAAACCAGTCAGACCTTTCGCGAACGCCAGTCGGATTTTCGTAAATGCCGCATTGTGTGCCACCTATGTGGGTGGTGCGTGTGTTTATGTGCTGTTCGTGGCGACCTCTATTAGGCAGGTAAGCTAATTTTCTGCAATTTCGAGAGGTTCGGACACTTTGATATGTCACTAAATCGATATCGTACATGGGTGACGAAAGATTATTGATATCAAAGTGATAATGTTGATTTGGGTCCTGAAAGAACACTCGTGTTTGATAATATTGAATGATGAGCCAGGTTTTAATTTGCGTGTGGTGTATTTGAATTTAGAAATGATACGTTATCAGGATTGATTGAGTTTGGAGTTTAATTGTGACTAATTTATTTTTTGTGTAACTTTTATTTCTTGTCAAGTACTCTCGTCTTTATGCACTTGAAATTTAATTTTCTTTGTGGATGATTTGAGTTTGTAATGTTAGATATGGACAGTACACTTTTGATGCGTTTCAAAGTACACATGTAATATACACGTGTCATTTTAGCTTCATTTGATTTGATTTATAATAACGTTCTAGTACTACTTATACAATAGTATTAATAATAGCTTGAACTTATAATATTACATGTATAATTATAGGCTGTCATGTAGTGTTGCAATTATTTTATAAACATTTTGAGTAATACAATTCAAGTATTATACATATACATATGTGTACATATGTACATACATTAAATATCTAGTATTAATTTTTACATACATCTAGTGCGTAGTAAGTATTTATAGAATACACCCTTTTAACATTGACTTTTGTATTTAACATATTTACACATCGTTAAAATATTAACTTAATATATTAATTTAATATAAAATTATAATTAATACTAGATAAAATCTGTTGAACCACAGGTACATCAATTTTTAAGAACGAGTTAAAATTAACATATTGATAAATAGAAATGAAAATCGTTTCATATAAGTTAGACAAAGATATGATACACATTGCATTAAAAAATTTCCGTTTCACAAACGATTGGTGCTTGCGAATTACATTGATCTCCGTAAATGCATCAAAAGCGTAAAACCAGTCTGTTAGATTATAAAACCAGTTTAATTTGCAATCGTCTCGTTTCCTTCGTCCTCGTTCATCGTCACACGTGCGTCTTTCTCCTTTTTTTCCTTGATCACAATTGAAAATCTGTGCCAACGCATAGCCTCGAGACTTGTTCTGCCTTGTTTGATTTGTAAAAGTCCGGTTTGCCTCTCCTTGCCCGTGAACACAAAGTAATTGCACTTCGTTTGAACGAGTTTTAAACGAATAATTGAAAACTTGATCGGAAATCAAATTTCTTACAAATACAACAATTCTTGTACGAAGAATAATCAATGCAACATTCCTTCGTGACTAATTCGAAATTTTTTCGCGCACCATTAAACCATGATATTCACATGACTTGATGTTATTCGTAATTATGTTAATTTAAAAAATAATTCCTTTGTGATTAATTCAAAATTTCTTCTATTAAACCACATTCACATAATTACTACTTGATGTACTTATTTACGATGATGTTAAAGCAGTCATTTATTTATACACTGACGAATCAAGATTTCAAGTCGTTTGTATTCATCAGTACTTATGTAGTAAACAAGTTTATATGGACACTGAATTGTCACATTCACTGTTCACGGTTTATGATGAATCATTTTAAGTATGAGAAGATTAATATGATATTCGTTTGTGAAGAACATGATGAATATCAAAGATCTGTGTACGGTTTTTACAAAACACGTAGTTTCATTTATGAGGTTCGCCATATTTTAAAAACAAATAAGATGAATTTTAAATGAAAATTTTATTTGTTGAGTACCAAGGTCATTTCAGGGTAATATTATTAGATATGTCTAAATCTGATGCAAATTAAAAATATATAGTTGTACACAAGAATATACATATTCATATACATACATGTACATATTCATATATCATACATATGTATACATATTCATATATCATATATACGTATACAGATTCATATATTACACATACGTATACATATTCATATATCATACATATATTAATTATATGATGATATGATTACCACAATATTGACTCTACATATCATACATATGTATATTATTAAATATCCCCAAAATTAAGACACCCAGTATACTGCTTCCATGAGATCTTCAAGCAACGCGATATAATTAAAGAACTTACGAAACTTTCGTTTTCTTCTGTAATACGACCCAAATCTTCGCGACGAACTCGTCATTTATAGCGTAATAATTTTTATCGATATCCTCGTACTAAATAAATTCGTCTTACGAAATTTCTCCTTGTTACATTTCAGCTCGCCGTGTTTTACAGCGGCAGAGAAATATCGGTTCAATTGTGTATACTCACCTTGATACCTGCTGTGATACTGTTAGGGCAAGTGCGAAATTTGAAGTACCTGGTCCCATTCTCCATGATCGCCAACACTTGTATGATGGTTGGATTCGCGTTAACCCTTTATTACGTGTTCACTGACATGAACATCTCGTCCAATGTGAAATTGTTCGCGAAGGCCGAGCAACTGCCTACGTTTTTTGCGACTGTGATATTTGCCATCGAGGGAATCGGTGTGGTGAGTTATACAAATTTTTATTTATATAAAATTATTTTTGTCAATTAATGTCAGGTAAAGCAAAGGTGAATATTAGGGGAAAATTTCATAAGCTAGTACTTTGATCATTTTTAGCTTTAATTTCTGCTAAAAATTTAGTCACTTGAAAATTTGAAATTTCTATATTTTTGTAGTTGAGAATTTTTTAATTCCTTAACTCATAAAAAATATTAGAATGTTTAAATAATCGATATCAGCGTCCATGTATCATTTCTAAAATAAATGAACAACTTTTTAGTTCTAACATTTTTAAATTCACAAGTTGAAGTTTCAATAAAAATAAAATGAGTAAAATACGGGTTTGAAGTCTTTGACGATTTAACATGACAGGTTGCAGATACAACCTGTATTTCTTTAGAAAGTGATGTAACGCTGATCCCAAGAACTGTGGTAGGTGTATGACACTCATAGAAGAAAGGTCTAAGACACAGTTCATAAATTATGTATATTACTGTGGCCTCTAGCTCGATTGATTGTTTCAATGAAATGAGGATCTAACAATAAGACGTACGATTATAATTTACAATGTGATTTGAACATTGTTTTTTTTTAAAGATGTATTAAAGGTGCTTTAAATCCTTATCCATGATTTATACTCATATGTTTACCGATATATTTTTACATATATTACCTTAACTGACTACTAAATTAAAATGAAACAACTATGTAGATGTAATGCTAATTAAATCTAATGCTAATTGAAATTGTAGTTGTATCACATATTTAAAGATACAAATAAATATTTGTTTAAATTGCTGCTATTTTATGTTAATATTCATTTTATAGATTTTTTAAACTACTACTGTAAATTAGAGTGTGTCAACACAAAGATGTAATAAATTAATTAATTTGTGCAGGTAATGCCCGTTGAGAACAGTATGCAAAAACCACAACATTTCCTCGGCTGCCCTGGTGTCCTTAACATAACAATGACAATAGTTGTAGCTCTGTACGCAGTTTTGGGTGTCTTTGGATACCTGAAATATGGCGAGGCAATTGATGCTAGCATCACCTTAAACATTCCAGAAGAAGAAATGTAAGTTTTACTACTAATAAAGTTACTTACTAATGTTTAATGCTAAATAACAACTAATAACTACTCATTAATTTTATTACTTATGCAAATTCTTACATTCTTCACTAGTTAATCTGACAATGTTAATAACACATTTTATCAAATAAAATTTATCAAATTTTATAAAATTTCATTTACTAATTTAACACGATCATTACTTCTCTGCTAGTCAAATTTAGAAACATTTTAAATATTTTTAAACATTTTTCTCTACAAAATTAAATTTTTAACGATTTTGTCTTTTTTTTATTGTTGTACAGTATGGGGCAACTAGCTAAACTTCTCATTGCGCTGGCTGTGCTATTCACTTATGGACTACAGTATTTCGTGTCGCTGGACATCATATGGGGTAGTCTGAAAGAAAAATGTAGCCACAAGTACCAAACCTTATGTGAGACCCTTCTCAGGATAACTATGGTTCTATTGACAGGTAAGAACACACGAAACTGTCTTTGATGAATTTGTCCATTTGAAAACATAATTAGACATAATCTTTTGAAATATACATAAAATGTTCATTGGTTAAATATACATAATACATAACCCATATGATATAGTATATGATCCCTAACAATTATTAAAACATACACAATTTTTGGGAGTATTACACATAACTCATATAGTATACACAATCCCTAATAATTATTAAAACGTACATAATCTTTGGAAATATCATATCCAACCCATATAACACAACACACCTGTAAGAAAAAGAGGAATTCAAGTCAATGTAATCTGCTCGGATGACTGTCTTATATTGTGGAACGATTGAAAGGGGTTGAAAATTGTCAGCTTTCCAGAAGACATGAAAAAGAGTTGCATTCAATATAAAGTTTTCTTAAATTTTACATTAAATGTCCTCTTAAAAACCTAATTTAATTAACAATCCTAATTCTAATTTTGTTAATCATTCTGAAGCACATCGATTAAATTCAAAATTAATAATCTTTGTACACGTCGTTTCTAAAAAATTTTAGAATATTAAAATATTCTTGTCTGCTTAATATAATGTTCCATGTAACTATCTTGTAATTGAAATCGCAACCATCAAAAAAAATTTTTAAGAACGAGTATACAATCTGATGAGCACAAAGTGAAAAAGGAACCTTCAGGTCACAATAACAGGTTTCGATTACCCTTCCGCTTATTAACAACATATATGCTTCTGGACGTGCACCAGACAAGTGTGTTACTTTCCTACGGAACGAAAAAGAGAAATACAAGTCGTAATGGAAGGATAGACGCAGAGCGGACTAGGGAAACACCCGTTGGTCTTCTAACCGCATGACTCACTGTCAGTCGTAAGCACCGTTCAGTGACTCGTACTCATTTACCTCATTGTAAAGATATGCATTGATGCTTTAGTCCTTGATGTTTTGACTTTTCGAAATAATTATTTCTCTTTACATAACGAATGACGGAAGTGGAGTTTTATTTTGACGCGACGTTAAAGACTAAATTGTCAAAAGGAATTAAACTATACTGAGATTAAAAATTTTATAAATTCTTCAGTTTACAGGGTTAGGTTAGGGTTAAAAGTTATTAAATTTTTTAAATTTATAAACGTTTAAAATTTGCAATTATAAAATTCATAAAGTGTAGAACTTTTGAATTATGAATTATAAAAATTAATTATCAACTCTTAAATTTCTTAATCGTGAAATTTTTCAGTTATCAGATCTTTAAATCTTGATATTTTGCAAAATTCAAATTTAAATGTGTGAACTTAAAAAATTACACAATTCTAAAATTTTCAAATTCCAAAACCCCAACTTCTGGCATCTTTAAAGTCTCAAATTTTCAGAATCCTAAATCCCCAATTCCAAAATTCTCAAATTCATAATTTCCCCAATTCTCAAATTTTTAAATTCCCAAAACACTAAAACTCTCAAATTTCCAAATCCTTAAATCTTCAATTCCGAAATTTTCAAATTCATAATTTCCCCAATTCTGAAATTTTTAAATTCCCAGAACTCCAAATTCTCAAATCCTCAAATCTCTAAATTTCCAAATTCTCAAGTCCCTAAATTTCTAAATTTCCACATTCTCATAATCCCAAATTCCTAAATCCCTAATTCCAAAATTCCCCAATTCTAAAATTTGTAAATTACCAAATCACCAAATCCTTAAATTTCCAAATTCTCAAGTCCCCAAATCTCTAAATTTCCAAATTCTCATATTCCCAAATCCCTAAATTTCCAAATTCTCATATTCCCAAATCCCTAAGTTCCCAATTCGAAAATTCTCAAATTCCTAACTTTCCCAATTCTAAAATTTTTAAATTCCCAAAACCCCAAATTCTCAAATTTCCAAATCCCTATATTTTCAAATTCTCAAATCCCCAAATCCCTAAATCCCCAATTCCAAAATTCTTAAATTTCCAAATTCTCCAATTCTAAAATTTTTAAATTCCCAAAACCCCAAATTCTCAAATCCCCAAATCCCTAAATTTCCAAATTCTCAAATCCTCTAATCCCTAAATTTCCAAATTCTTATATTCCCAAATCCCTAAGTTCCCAATTCCCAAATTCCCCAATTCTCAAATTTTTTAATTCCCAAATCCCCAAACTCTCAAATCCTCAAATCCCCAAAATCCTCAAATCTCCAAATCACTAAATCCCCAAATCCCCAAATCCTCAAATTCTCCTATTCCCAAATTTTCAACACATCCATAAAATGCACTAAAAATTCACAAAAAAATTTGCCTCTAAAGAAATTTCGTTTCTTTCTATTTTTAGTGGTCGTGGCGATATTAGTTCCTGATCTGGATCCCTTTATTTCCTTGGTTGGCGCAGTGTTCTTCTCCAACCTTGGCATCAGTATACCAGCAATCGTTGAAACGATTTCCTGTTGGGAAGGCCATCTTGGAACGTTTAAATGGAGGCTTTGGAAAAACTGTCTCCTAGTAGCTTTCGCGTTGTTCGCGTTGGTATTCGGATCGTGGACCTCCATCTCAAAAATCGTAGAGACGTACAACAAATGAAAATGATCGAAATTTAAACTTGAAGTGAAAATACTGAAGACTCGAATTCGAAGTTACGATTTAACGATCAAGATTAGAATTCGAAGGTGCTGTATTTGTTCAGCGATGACAGAGTTATTACTAGCACAATTCACGTATACAGCATTTATTTCTATCAACGTCCATGTACATCCTGTATTTATTTTTACATTCTACTTAAGTATTTTTGTAAGCAGTAATTTACGGAGATGTTTCGCTCAAGATTTTTGCGAAAAAGGGGACAGAAAATAACTGGAAAAGTAAATTTTATTTATTGTAAATATGTACAAAAAGAGAAGTTTAAAAGATTTGAAGCAATATTTTTGGTTAGAATATCGACAATGGTTTTGTAAATATACTTACGGTTTAGAATTAGAATAAAGTACTAAAATATACAATTATGTAATTATTTCGTTGCGTAAGTTTGTATAAAGTTGTATAAAATTACTGAAAAAATGTACAAAATAATATCTTTGACAAGGTCTAAGGAATTAGGACGACTACTTCGAGGACGTAGTTTAGTGTAACATTGATAAGCAAACATTGTAAATACTATTTTTCTCCGCAAACCTAGATGTTAATATTTCGAAATAATTCACAAACCATCATTCTACGAATAGTTAAAATTTATTTCCAAATTAAATTTCAATTCCACAATTATAAATTACATTTTTATACTGAGAGCGAAATTAAAATGCGATATCGATAACTGTTGTTTTCTTCTTTACCATCGTTCAAATTATTTACCAAACCACTTGTCTTTGCGGTGGTCGATTCAATCGCGAATTTGATATCAATATCGATTGAACATTTGTAGCATTCGGATGCACCCTACGCGAGGTGTCACCATAAAAAAGTAGACTTATGGAGATCAGATAAATTCCAATTATCAAAGGGATGTATTGTAGGTATCGCATAAAATGTAAATACCGAAGTAATTGATACGGGTACAGTACTTGGTCGAACGGTGTTAGTTTGTTTCCCTGTAAAAATATTTGCATTATTTGTATTTTTTTGAGAGATTAGGTTATATGAAGATATAACATAACATGAGAAGCCATGATGTCGTCAACCATTTTGGAGAAGTAGTGAATAAAATGGCGTTCATTTTGAATGTTCAAATGAAAATTAGCTATGCAGTCAACGGAAAGTATTATTAAATCATCTGTGAGGATTGTTTTCACATTTGAAAATTTTGGATGATTGATGGATAGAATAATATTTATGGAATAATTTAATATTTTAATATGTGATTTTATGCAATGAACATGGTGATACATGAACGAGCGCTGTTTGTAAGTGATCAAAGAATATATCATTGAAATGTTTTACCATATGATACAGTGGTACATATTGAAGTTCAACATGAGAAATAAATGTAATGTAAAATAAACTTTATTTTTTATTTGGCTCATTACTTATTGAAACTCGTATGCAAATATTTAGAAATTAAATGATTCCTTAAAACTGTAATACTTTTCAATTAGAGATTTTTGTTATACCAGATTCGCAGTAGAAAGATATTAAATTCTATGAAAAATTCTTAAGAGAACCTTACATTTTCGAACCACAGCAGTGGAAAATATCCTTCACTAATATTAGCGAGCAGATTCACCGGTCGTCTAGCCAATTTTAAGTTCAACTGCGTTTTCTTTTCCCCAGCAAGGGGTATTCCTGTGTACGGTTCAATGACGACGTACGTTTTGTGAAGAACTTCATTAGGAGTTAAACCACGAGCGTAATTCAAAAGTTCTGGATCACCGTGTAAGAAGTGTGGCTCTGACACAAATACGGGCACCTTCTGCATTGAATATATCGAATGTAAAATTAAATATTTACTGAAGTTCGAGGTATTACCTGACACTGGTATGCGTCGATTAAACCCCGTCTTGGACATACTGGTTGTTTGTCTACTAATGGACAGTAACACTCGGATTCGTTCAAGTACCATACTCTTTCGTGCATCACGAATTGAGATCCGATCATACCATTTAGTACAACCTCATTCTCGTAATCAATTTCCACGGTTCTGTTTGCGCATATTGCAATGACAACAAAAAATAAATATGATTAACACAAAAGTGATTAACGCTAAGTTAAGTGATTAACACTCCGCTGTTCCTTCTGGGAGGACATTTTAAAATAAACTTTAGGAGTGCAAGGGGTTATGTTTTATAAATTCAGAGTATAAAAAACAAAATAATAAAGTAATAAAAGTGTATAATTTTACCAACAATATTTTGCAGAACCAATTTTATTAATACCTGCATATGTCCTGTATAAACGTTGACACTTTAGGTAATGGTTTCATTAACGGAGCCCAGGTGATTGTATCGGATCCTCTCACTGTGTTGCAAAGATCTGTAGCAAATACTTCTTGCACACGATACCCTAAGTAAGATGTTATATCACCTAATTTTGTTATGTCTTTGACACCTCTGGAAACGGTGAACGGCCCACGAGAAGTGTTATTAAGCTGTAATATAAAACATGTAGTTGTGAACGTAGTAAAGTATAGTAACTTTATCCGTGAGAGGAGGCAATGCTGATATAGCATAAGGATACGTGGAGTATTAGCAACTGCTTTGTATTAGTAAATGTTTTTAGGAATATAAACTTGAAGAAATATGAACTAATATTATAAAAATATACCCTTTGAAAAAAACTGAGATAATAAACGTTTTCTTTTTCGCCTTCTCTCAACACCGGTGGTTGCTTCAATTTCAAAGTCTCGCATATCAGCTGCAATTCCGGAAATTTTTTCGGGTTGCATGTAATTTTAACGCCATCGAAAAGTACGTCGGTGGGCCGAGCTTTTAGAAAAATACTACTTCGATTCGGAAATAACTTTGGGATACTGTTACCATATTTTTTCATGAAATCGTCGGGTAACGCTGCTAGCTGCAAAAACCAAATATAATTAAAACAGTGACTAATTGTAATTTAGATAAAATTTAATTTCAATTTAGCAGTGTGGATTTAATAATTTTGCAGATACTTTTAGTGAAGAAATTAACTAACAATAAGTAAATAAAATGAATGATCTGTTTGCTTATAATTAAACACCCTTTTCATAATAATAAATAATAATGATTAATGCTAAAGAAAAAGTAATAATTTTTCTGGTTAAATGCAGTAGTTTATTAATTAAATAGTGATGTAACTAATGCACAAGAAAGAATAGAAAATTGTAAATAATTGTAAATAATTGCAACTTACAGTTTCAATAGTACCAATATATGCGGGATTTAGTATTATGATTTTATCCTGTTTAGAAAAGTTCAAACTTTGATACCTATCGAAAGTATATGTTGATTTTGTGGTGTACTTAATTTCATCCATTTCCTTGTCAATGTATGATATAAACTTCTCCTGAACTTCACTAAATATGGAAATATAAACTAGTGATAATTTCTGTACAATTGTGTATTTTATATTGATAATTTGATTTTTATATGTGTGCAAGATTTAGTTAGAAATTAACGTATATTGTAAGAAACGTGAAGTACACTTTTTGTTTTGAAAGAAATTCAAAATTCAAAAAATTCCAGTTATTATTTAAATGACAATTCAAATTTTAGTAAAAATAGCACTTATTTCTATGAAGTTATTTCTGAATATGCATATATTTAAAGTTTCTATCAATTATACCAGTAATGAGAAGTAAACACTGTTGTAAGTAAACTTTTTGAAAAATTTTTGTATTTTACTCACGTGTACGTAAAAGGACCATATTCAACCAGATGTGGGTTCTCTCCTCTCATTACTTCATCAGGGTTGGTGACATTAAATAGATAACAGGAAAAATTGATGGACGTAGGCTTCGACCATATTTCATAATGTGGTGAACCTTTTATAAGCGGTAAACTAAACTGTAAATTATTATTTCATAGTTTTATTTTACTTGCATTGACCACATCAATTATGTTGGATTATTCAAAAAGATACAAAATAATTATTCGAAAGAAATACTTCTACTTACTTTTTGTACAAATTTTACAACCAACGTCTCAAGCACATTTTCTGAAACGAAATATGAACCCAAACAGATCAACGAAATACCAATAAATATTTGAAAGATCATTAAATATAAATTACTCATATTTCGAATATATTGTTAACAACAACTTTCACTAATTTTAATGAAAATATCTAACTATAATTCTTAACTATTACTGTTTACATATCAGAATACTTCTAAGTATTCTTTACATAAAGAAATTCATTCTACAAAAATTAAATCATAAAACTGTTGAGTAATCTGCTTTTATATTAAAACTTGCGTGCTACCTGTGTTTATTAATAAATAATGCTTTCGCATAGTTCAGCACGATGAAGATAATCTACGTAGCAGGACATATAAATTATTCCTTATTGCGTATCATTTAATCAAATCTGAAAGTGTAATGTTTCGTATTTTCATATCACGACATAAACTGCGATCAATATTTTAAGCGAAATAATTTCCATAATCGCTTTCATAAAAAGAAATTATATCAGTTAAGTTAGACACACAATTTACGACATTAATATATCAATTCATATGTGTATAATTCTGAAATATTTTGTGGAGCTGCAAAACACTTAGAGAAGAAATTAAAAAAAAAGATTTATGCAATTTAAACATTATATTATAATATAACTTCTGTTTACAGTTTCATTATTAATAAAGTAACAAAATAATAAGAGGACAATGAAGAAGAAAATTTCTTTGAAATTTTTTTGCAAATTTCACTGAAACTCCTGACAGTATATTTCAAGGTCATCGAGGTGCACCCTTTTCTCTACAAAATTAATTTCTGCATTAATATCTACAAAATTAATTTTGAATTAATTTGCAAAAAATACTTGATATTCAAATATAAATAACGAGTTTTTAATTTTGTTTGAAGGTTATATAAATGAAATAAATACGTGCGTTTTGTAAAGGGTTAACTGTTTTACCAACACGTGCAACCCTTCACTGATACATTTTCCACCCACTAGGTGGACCACCATCGGACAATGTGGAATCAGGCATTGTGCATGATGGGCAACAGCCAAAGAAAGAAAGAAATGGCGGCGTTTCTTCAATTTTAGTTATTAATTCGTGTTTGTTAGCGTTCCTCTCGATTCAAGCAATTTATTTTGTTCTGTCGATAATCTTCGCAATCGCAGTTTCGTGCCAGGTATCCGGTGACCCCTTCTGAATTCATATATCGCGTAAACTCGACGACTTTCCGTACGGCATAACCTAACAAATCGTTCGGCGTTTGTGTTTAATCGTGATTGAAAAGGATGGCAATGAACGAGGATTTCAATTTCGCCGAATTGTGCAGACTTTGTTCGTTGAAGAGCAACCATCAGCTTCAGATTTTTGATAAAGAAGGCGAGCAAAGGCAGCTACTTTTTAAAATACGTTCCTGCATTCCTGCTGTGGTAAGTCATTTTCTTGCTTTGTGTATCTAAAATTTCATTATTCCTCAATGTTTTTGAATATTCAGCCTAAGTACTTGGTGCACTGATACACAATTGATACAAAGACAATTGTTTGTTTTTATATTTACATTGTCATTGATGGAAAATGTTATTTGTATGCAGATAGTATAAATGTGGTTTTTGTTGCTGATCAAACTTTAAGTGAAAGATCAATTAAAAATTGAATACTCTCTTGCATCGAGGGTGTTATTGAAGTGTCCTAAGACTGAGGTTTATTAAATACGATAAGCTCCGATAAAGTACTTGAAAGAATGTAGTTAAAATAGACTTTATAGTTAGCATAACATAATAGGTTTGTTTATGTAGTTTTAGGTTTGTAGATTCATTTAATAAAGTCTTTGCCCTTTAAATTAGTAGAAATTTTTAATCGATTCTGGTGTCGTAAATTTAAATATTTGGAACGATTTTGTCATTACATTTTTTTTAATCGCATGTTTTTTATTAGAGAAATGATGAATGAAGTGAAATGAAATGAAATGGAACTTAGGACGTACATGTACGTATATGTATATAAATAATATTTCAATATGAACTTATAATAATTATATAATAAAATCTGAGCAATAAAGTCTTTTGCAGTATCATACTTTTTCTATCTCCTGTTTAAAAATTAATGACATTTAAATTTAAAAATATTGTTTAGTATTTTATCAACTGTTCTGCATGAAAATATTTAGAAGAAACAATTTAAATTTATTGCGAAATTTTCTTGTACACAAACAGTATTTTTTGTGAATTGTTTATTACGATAATTTCCGATAATTTCTAGATGATTAAAAATCGGTATTTCGGAGAATGGATCACTTTATCGTAACGAAAAAAGTGTTACCATAACTCGTAATACTTTGGTCAGTGCATGACTTAGAATTTTGATAATCGGAGGTTAAACGAGTTAGGGTCACGTTTCGATTAAACTATTGCTCTTGAACTTCAATGTGATTGCAGATCTCATATGTCTCTAAAATAAAGTGGTTCTAATTTTTAAATACTCGTAGCAAATCAGGTTTTAAAGAAGATGAAGAAAAAAATATTTCGAAGTCATAATTTTAAACTGTCCGCCATTTGTAAGAGTGTGTTTTTATTAAAAACTTTTTGTCACGTTTCTAAAATTGGGGATTTGCGGATTTGGAAATTTGAGAATTTGAGGGTTTGAAAATTTGGGAATTTTAGAATTTGGAAATTTGGGAATTTGGGGGTTTCAAAAATTAGGAATTTTAGTATTTAGAAATTTAGGAATTTGGGGATTTAGAAATCTGAGAATTTGGTAATTGGAAATTTCTAAATTTGGGAATTTGCAAATTTGGAAATTTAGAAATTTGGAAATTTGGGAATTGGGGGTTTGAAAAATTGGGAATTTTAGAATATAGAAATTTGGGAATTGGGGTTTGAAAAATTAGGAATTTGGCAATTTAGAAATCTGGGAATTTCGTAATTTGATAATTGGAAATTTAGTAATATGGGATTTTGATCATTTAGAATTTAAAAAATTTGCAAATTTGGAAATTTGATATTTTTATATTTCCCTATACCTACATCTCCAAATCTCAAATTACTAATACTTGAAAAATTCAACACTATTATACGAGGTCTACATTCACCCCGCATTGCAGTGAACGCGTTAAATATTAAATTACCATATTGGGTCAAATCAAATCAGACGATGCAGTCTGATCTAAAGATCCCATCTATCTTGTAATTTCTTACTAACATAGTGTTCATTTTCAGATAACGAAAGAGGATGCACTGCCGAAAAATATCTGCCAGAGATGTGTCTATAAGCTAGATATGTTTTACGAATTTCGGGTTAGCTGCATGACGACTGATACGGTGTTAAAGAATTATGCGGATAGTTTGAAACATCTTGCTGCATCGGTAAATCAGGTGAGTCCATTTTTTTTCACAATTTATCTCTAGTAATTTTTAAAATACACTAATTGCATGGAACATTCTGTATACTTATTTATGAAGACTGTTTTTAATTTTATGAATTAAATCAAAATTGAAAGAACTTAATATCCGAAATTAATTATAATATTTAAAATGTAAAATAAAATTCTTCTTTATTGAGTTTGCAAATATTCATGCTTCAAACAATTTAATCAGAGGAAGAGTTAATTAGTTAACTTTTATTGAAAAAAATTGAAGGGTTAAGTTTTCATAGGAAATTTAAGAAAACAAGGTTAATAGAAGTTTATCGTAGTTAGCCTTGTTAGTTAAGTGTTAATAAAAGTTCTTTGACTCTACATAGCGACGATAATTTCTATTTTATCTTTTGTTATTTCTTGGTAAGTACTTATTAACATGTTTTGCGACGTTTATCAAAAGTTCCAGTGATTTATTACTTTATCAATCAAGCATGGAAATTCATTGACTTAAACGAACAGACAGTAAAAGCATAATAATAATAACATATAATTGCAATGTTTTTATAATTAAACGTAAGATAATTTTTGATTTATTAATTTAGCCAGCAGACAGGGACATTCATTAATTTTATAGCGAATTAAAATAGGGAGAAAGCACAATAAATTTAGTATAATTATCATGTTTTCATAATTCAACATTACAAGATAATTTTTGATTCGTTATTAAATTTTTAGTTTTATTGATTCAGCAGAACAGGTTTAAACTGAAATTTGTATTTTGTGATTGTCTTCTCATAATTAAATTCGGTGGGTACTTTATCATAAATAAACAGTGTAACGATTACTTGTGTACGTCGAAAGCAAACGTGCAACTTTCGAATAGTTACAAACGTCCCTCTTAATTCCCCCGACAGAGTTTCTGTATACCACATTAGAATGAATGAAACGGAGTTGAAGGAGGGTAGCAGAAAGTGCTTATAACGTTATCGTTAAATATAGCAACAAACGAGCGACTCGTTTACAGGTACCGGTTTATTTGCTCCTAATTGATTTCACGAGACATGAGAGACGCGTTTGAGCTCCGTGACCACGTGGTTTACGACTGGGGGCAAGTGGCTTACAAATGGAGGAGACAGCGCGCTTAATAAAGGTAGATTAAAGGTCTGGCATAAAGCCGCGTGGTATCGCGACACTCGAGAGACATAGAGAAGTTGCGGCGATTTTTTCCTCGGGCACCGGTGAGAATTTATCGTCCCGCTGAACCGTACTACACGAATAGTCAGGAGGAGGAAGCAGACTATCGGGGCAGGTCGTACATATTCTAGGAAGTACGTAGCGAAGACTCTTTACAAGCTCGTAAACTCGCGCGGCAATTTCCGACACGACGCGTTAAAGTGACTTTATGCGTCGAATGGGTGGCCGACACGAGTTCCACATTTCGAGCGGCGTAAAAAGTCCTTTACGCGACACGCGCTCGCGTTGTACCACCTCTGTGGCCCCTCTGTGTCTCTGTTCTTTTCGCCTTCTTTAAACGCTCGTCTCGCTCGTGCTGCTCGATAAGCGTCGGCGACCGCGAGGGTGCGCGGGAAAGAGGAGACCGACGATGAAATGGAGAAGAAGGAGACGAAACGAGGGGCGTCGCTGATCGGTAGCTCGAGGTTCTTGATACTGTTCGTTCCACCACCCCTTCGTTGTCCAACGAAGCATGATCCCAATAATTCCACCCTCACACACGCGACTCCTCGAGCAAGAGAACGCCGGGCGGAGGGGATAATATACGGATAAGCAGACACGGATGAACAGATAGGGCAAAAGGGAGACAGATCACGCGGGGTAGTCAGGATAGAGGGTGGTTGTACGTGCACGCACGTATGTGTGCAACCGTCGCGGCGCTATTGATCGACGCTCCGTGGCTAGGCTGCGTCGCGCATAGAAAGCGAAAGTCAGTTCTCCTTTTCTTCGACGTCTCGCCTATTCCTCTCGTTTCCTCCTCTTTCCTTCGCCGAGCCGAACATCTCTCCTTCTCTTCTCGCCTTTACCTTCGTCTTTTACCCTTTCGTCTTTCTTCCACCTGTTCCGCCGATCTCTTTTCCTTCGGCGCGTCTCGTCGTTCCCCAATCCAAAGATCGTTCGATCCCCACCCCTGTCGGTTGGCCCTTCGGGTCTCCTTGTCCCGGGCACAGGTGCAACGAGGAGCAGGCCTGCACCTCTGAAAACCTGTTTCGAGGTCTCGAATACCCTGTCGTAAACGGTCGACGAAGTCTCGTTACCCGGCTGATCGTTGATGCGGTCAACCGAGAGTTAGGGAGCAAAGAGAACATTAGGAAACGGCGGTACTCTCGTAGCTGGTCACGAGACACCGCGTTTCGTTTCGCCTAATCGCGCATCCCGTTCACCGATACTCTCTGTCATCTCTGTGTACGGGCTTTCCCTCCTCGCGTCTCCTTTCCCCCTGTCTCTTTCTCGCTCGCTCAGTCAATGTCAGTGTCAAGGTCAGCGGGCCGACGCACTGCAGAGCGCCGCCGCCGCCGACGC